GGTGCAATTATTGTAAATTTCGAAACCCAATAGAGAAGAGAAAAGATCAGGCCCTGTGGTGAAGGTCCCTTAAAGTGCAACAAGAGAAAATATGTATATATATTCCCTTACAATATTAAAAGTGGGGAATTGCTAACACTGTTCCTAAGCCGTTTGGCCACCGAGCCGAGCCGTTTTGGAGCCGACGCGTTTTTGGGCCGAGCCGGATGAAGGTTATGTTTGCTTCCCTTTTAATTCCTTTGCATGCCGACGTCACACTCCACCAAAGGTTATCCCACGCTTTTGGCCTTCTTTCCTCTCATTTTTTCGACCGTCTAGATTCTTCTTTTTCTCTCACACTCTCTCTCTACGCCTTTCTCGCGATCTTGGAACCCTAGCACATCTTCAAACCCTAGCAGATCTCTACGCCTTTCTCGCGATCTTGGAACCTTAGCACATCTTGAAACCCTAGCAGATCTCTACGCCTTTCTCGCGATCTTGGAACCCTAGCAGATCTTACGCATTTCCTCCATTTCAACAGGTGTTTTTGCTTTCTTTCCTCTCATTTTCTCTGGATTTAGATGCTTTTCTCTCTCTCTCTCTCTCGCGACATCTGAGTTTCTTTTGAAACCCCAACAAATTTCACACATTCAGTCTATTTCAAGAGTTTTTTTCGCGTGCTTTTTTCTCTCTGTTTACCGTTTTTCTCCCGACCTTACATTTTGTTTTGAAACCCTAACAAATTTCTCGCATTTTCTCCATTTCAGGTGCAGTACGATGGTATAAAATAGAAGAGGTTCTGTTTTAATTTATTCGCTACCATCTGTCGTTTTCTCTCGAAGATTGGAGCTCTAGACAGCAGCGACCGAGTGTGCAGACTGTTAGGTTAGAGGTAAAATTTTACTTTTTGTTTTTTTTGCAAAACCGCAATTGTGAGGGTAGATAACCTCAGATCTAATGCGGTCTTTCAGAGTAGCTGGACTGCACTATACGTAGTTTTATGCTTCTGTCTGCGAAATTAATTTTCCATTCGAATTGTCTGTTATTGTTTTCATTCAATCAGTGATTTCCGTGCTTTACTGATGTTTTCTGGTTTTTTTGCACGTTGGTTGGTAGGAATTTTTTTGCTTGTAAAAGTATTTAATCTTGTTGTATGATGTTGTTTTCGTTGGTGTAATTAGGTGTATTGAGATTTGGGAGGTTAATGGTTTTGTTCCCTTTGTGTCGACTTATGAATTTCTTTTTCTTATTTTTATGTGTGGAATTCTAAACATGGACCTGAATTTTTTGAGGAACCAGAGGTACGAATTTGTGGTCTCCTATATTACTGCCTCTCATCTTGGTATTCCACAGCAGGTATATTTTTCTTTCNCTATATTACTGCCTCTCATCTTGGTATTCCACAGCAGGAATATTTTTCTTTCCATTCAACTCTACCTGAATAGAATCTGGCGATTTTATAGCATTTGGTCACGTGGGTTTGGTTATAATTTAATTGAGATTGATTGGTTTGCTTTATATTGTATAATTTTGAATCTTCAACTGTGGATCTAAGAAATGTGTACACAAGATTTGAACATTAGGCTTCAATGGCCAAGATTCTTGAATTGCATTGCTTTATAATTGCAATTTTTCAACGAATGCAAGTCAACTAGGAAAGTTTGAGTTTTTTACGAATTCTGGTAGAAAAGAAGATTTGTGAAATCAACTATCTTGCATTTTCAAGTAAAATGAGGTCCTTTGATAGGCTTCAATTAACTTGTTGGTTTTGAATTCACTTGTGATATTGGATGCAAGTGGGATTTTAGCTTGTCTACATACAATTTCTATAAATTTATTTCATGAACTACTTTTGGATTTAACTGATGATCTATTTGTACACTACTTGGTGAAATAGACTGGAATTTTGGACTTCTTTTGATGTCAATTTAGACTACAGTATGTTGGTATTTTTGTCTTTGAAGAGTATCATGATCATAATGTGCTTATTCTTTTGATTGAGGCATCTATGTGTTGGATTAGACTTTTTCTTATTCATCATTATGTCTGACATTGCAGTTGAGAAACTTGGTTTGGTCTACGTCAAAGCATGATGTTTACCTCACGACATTTCTTTCTCTCACGCACTTTCCCTTCTCAGTTTCTCACTCTGCGTTCGACGACAATCCTGGGCTCCTCCTTCGCCTCATATTTTTTTTCTTCCTTTTTTTCCCACCATTTTATCAAAAACTTTTCGATGTTCACAAACCCAGAAGTTCTAATCCTCTATTTTTGTGTTTCTTTTGCAGATTTTGAAGTTTCCATCGTAGATCGGTCGAAAGTATTATTGAAACAAGCTGTTCTGGTAAGTGAATGTAGATTTTTACTGTGAATCAATGTTTTCCGTTGATCTTCGCATCAAAACCTCCTTTCATATTAGATTCTTCACATCGAAATTTTATCAGATTTTTATGATTTTTTTTTTGGCGACCGAACCGTAGAACTGAATCGATGGTGCTTTTTTCCTTTCCTTCGCTCTACAAATCGAAATGACATATTTTCACCCAACTTATAGTTGTTTTCTCTTGGGAATTTAATGGTGCACGGTAAAATGTTTAGGTTATTTGAGAGCCAGATGCTTCGGGTCTAGGGTCTGATTATTTTGTAAAGTTTTGGAGACTCCGTGATCTTTACTTTTCCCCACCCTTTGTACAGATTAAAATGTGGATTCTTTTTCCCCTTGTTTGATTTTCATATGGGTATCGTGTTTTTTGTTGGATTCTTGATTTCGCCCAGGTTCTTCCCTCCCATCTGCTGGTAACTATATCTAACACATGGCCACACTTTGTTTTGTTGGAGATGCATCTGCTATAGTAATGTAATGGAATGAAAGATGTGAATTTTTGAGGGATATCGGTATGTGTTTGTTCAATAAATTATGCTAAATTTTCTGTATGAAATACAAATTCTTTTCGATTGATTGTTTTTTTTTACTAAAGTTATTGCTTTAATCTTTTCTTTTGAAATGTGTGCCAAAAAAATTAAATGACGTTCTCATAAAATTAAAAGCACTGCCTTTTTAAAAGTTTTCCGAGAACAGTACCAAAATGTCGTTCAATCACGGAGGTATTTCGAATTTAGTCACGTTGGGTATATTTATTCTGTGTTATGTTTTCCTGTTCCCCGCAAGTTCTTTGAGGTTGTTCCCAAAATACTCTAAATTCCTAGGAAAATTGGATTTCCAGGAACTCTGTCATGTTACTTTGTAGTTGTTTAATTCTTTCCCCCTTTTGTGTTGGCTTCTTATGTTTACTGTTAAGTTGTCATTAATCTCTTATTTTTTGTGTTTTAGTTCTGTGCAATTTCTTCCTCAAAAGAAAGGGGATTCGAATTTATATCCATTTGATATTTGTTTTCTTTCAAATATTGTTTTTTCATTTTTCAGTTATATTAAGAACACTTATCCTTCTAGCTAAAAAATTGACGTAAATGCTTATTTGTTGATTGCACTCTGTTTCTGTGTTGAACCAGATGGAGAATGAGGGTAAGAAACTCTCCAAATGGGAGCGTTGTAAAGTTGTTAAGGATCTCAGGAAGTTCAAACATTTCATACATGCTTTAGAGGT